CACCAGGGGGCCACGAGGTAGGGGGCACGCCCAGGGGGGTAGGGCGCACCCGCACCCTCGTGGGCAGGGTGTGGGCCCCCTAGTGAAGTTCTTGCGCTCAATGTTTTTTATATATTTGGAAAACATCATCCGTGAAGTTTGAGGACTTTTGGAGCTGTGCAGAATAGGTCTCCAATATTTGCTCCTTTTCCAGCTAGAATCCCAGCTGCCGGCATTCTCCCTCTTTATGTAAACCTTATAAAATAAGAGAGAATAGGCATAAGTATTGTGACATAATGTGTAATAACAGCCCATAATGCAATAAATATTGATATAAAAGCATGATGCAAAATGGACATATCAAATACCCCGAGCAAGCCCCTCAGAGGATTACTTTCCATAGTAACAAGTGACAATAAATTTCAGCACACTATATAAATTTTCCTTACCAAATTCCATCTACCAAAGGTGCTTCACTCCCCGGCAATGGTGCCAGAAAAAAGTCTTGATGACCCACAAGTATAGGGGATCTATCGTAGTCCTTTCGATAAGTAAGAGTATCGAACCCAACGAGGAGCAGAAGGAAATGATAAGCGGTTTCCAGCAAGGTATTCTCTGCAAGTACTGAAATAAGTGGTACTTTGATAATTTGGTATGTGGGTGGACCGGTGCTTGGGTACTGTCCTTACTTGGACAAGCATCCCACTTATGATTAACCTCTATTGCAAGTATCCGCAACTACAACAAAAGTATTAAGGTAAACCTAACCATAGCATGAAACATATGGATCCAAATCAGCCCCTTACGAAGCAACGCATAAACTAGGGTTTAAGCTTCTGTCACTCTAGCTACCCATCATCTACTTATTACTTCCCAATGCCTTCCTCTAGGCCCAAATAATGGTGAAGTGTTATGTAGTCGACGTTCACATAACACCACTAGAAGAGAGACAACATATATCTCATCAAAATATCGAACGAATACCAAATTCACATGACTACTAATAGCAAGACTTCTCACATGTCCTCAGGAACAAACGTAACTACTCACAAAGCATAATAATGTTCATAATCAGAGGGGTATTAATATGCATATAGGATCTGAACATATGATCTTCCACCAAATAAACCAACTAGCATCAACTACAAGGAGTAATTAACACTACTAGCAACCTACTAGTACCAATCCCGGACTTGGAGACAAGAATTGGATACAAGAGATGAACTAGGGTTTTGAGAGGAGATGGTGCTGGTGAAGATGTTGATGGAGATTGCCCTCTCCCGATGAGAGGCGCGTTGGTGATGACGATGGCGATGATTTCCCCCTCCTGGAGGGAAGTTTCCCCGGCAGAACAGCTCTGCCGGAGCCCTAGATTGGATCCGCCAAGGTTCCGCCTCGTGGCGGCGGAGTTTCGTCCGAGAAGATGGCTTATGATTTTTTTCCTCATCGAAAGACTCCATATAGAAGAAGATGGCCATTGGAGGGCCACCAGGGGGCCCACGAGGTAGGGGGCGCGCCTAGGGGGTAGGGCGCGCCCCCACCCTCGTGGGCAGGGTGTGGCCCCCTGGTGAACTTCTTGCGCTCAGTATTTTTGATATATTCCGAAAACGTCTTCCGTGAAGTTTCAGGACTTTTGGAGCTGTGCAGAATAGGTCTCTAATATTTGCTCCTTTTCCAGCCCAGAATCCCAGCTGCCGACATTCTCCCTCTTTATGTAAACCTTATAAAATAAGAGAGAATAGGCATAAGTATTGTGACATAATGTGTAATAACAACCCATAATGCAATAAATATCGATATAAAAGCATGATGCAAAATGGACGTATCACTACCCCGTCGGGGCGCCTACTTTTATCCAAAGTGCCCCTACACCCGCGGCCTCCCACCGCCGGCAACAATCGACGATGCGGCTGTTGACGGCTCCTCCTGCCTACCACCGCCGGGATTCCTCCCTGTTGCTTCCACCTCAACAATGGTTCCCCCAACCCCGCCGGCTTCGTCACCAGCCACTCCTTCATCCACACAAATCATAGGAGACAGCTGCACGGGCGATCCTATGAACAAGGCCTCGACGATGCTGGTGGTGGAAGTACGAGGGTGTGGAGCGCTTGGAAGGTCGCGGTTGAGGCATGAGGACGGCAGCAGCGGCAGTCAAAATCTTCATGAAGTTTATCCGCTTACCCTCCCCTGGTCTGATTTCTCTCCAATCTTTGAATCCCCTCGGTTTGAACTAATGCCATGTACTTTCAGAACAATTAGTGAATCAATTGTCAGTTGAAAGATGGTTGATGCACCGAAAAAGATTGTATTGATTCATTCTGGAAAAGTCAAGATCACAATAGCAATTAAATATACATTTGGGGCCAAAAGTAGCCGTTACATAAGCATTTGGTCAATCTTTTGGCCTCTCTCTTTATGCATTATGATTGCCATCTTGGGAAAAAAATGGAAAACATGTAAAGCTGTATGAGTTTTTATGTTTGCAATTTTTAGTTTTGGGGGGAATTAATGGATCCACTCGGCTTGCCCTTGAATCCAACTGTTTTTAGTTTTTAGTGTCCAGGAAAAATTCTTGAGATGACGGAAATGAATTTCCCTCTCAAGAAAAGGTGGAATACGAATTGGATTGAAAGCTAGAGCTGGAGCAGGTTGGCCCTAGACACTCACAAAATCCTTTTCAACTTTACATGTTTTATTATCATTGTTATCAAATTTTGTTCTGGACCGTGGCTTTCTGAACATCCTTTGGTTAATCAGGTAGAGCATGGTGGAGGGTCTGCTTCTACCTCTCTGGCCTCTCGACCAGATCATATATGTTTTATGGCTCCGCGGCTCCATTAATGGCAGTAGGGCGCTTGTGCCATCCATTTCTCATTCGTGCAACCATCATCTGTAGCATTTGTTGGAGCCATCATCCGAAACAGTTTCACTGATTCTCGGGTAAGCAATGTGATTTTTCCATGTGTTGACTCAATCTGGAAAAGTCAAGCTTACAAATGCTTTAAGGGATGGTTGATGGAATTGAATCACGGGAGTATTGGTCGTCCATACCTTTTTAGGGACCTTCTAAGAGTTAGATTTGACATGAAATCAATTGTTTTCTACATTGTGTTGTCATTGCTAGAATTGTTGATCTCGAGCTGCAACCTCCACAATAGTGGCTTCAAATATTGGTCATAACTATTGGCAATTAATGGTGAATCCCAGTCCATCAGGGCTCACATCGTCGTCAAACCCAATTGCACGTGTGGGGCGAAGGCAAGCGCGGACGGACTGATCCCAACCCGACACTGCACACCACCATCTCCAACATCCTCGCCGTCAGGGCCAGCGCCGCTCCGAGCAGAACAGAAAACTAGAGGAGCTTCGTCTCAAGAAATGTGGGCACGCCTCAAACTCAAAGTCCGGCCGCCGTGTGGGAGAGCTGCATCAGCCATGTACGTCTCTTCCAAGAAGTGCACGGCCTTGGAGGAGCACAACGATTGAATAGTCGACGCCGGCTCCTGCGGCACGAGCTAGGAAAGGGGCAGGAGACGGGCATGGCAGAGGCGCGCGCTAGACATGCAGATCATGAATACGGGTACAACGCTGCATTTTTCCCTCGGGATGCTATGATCCTTTTCTTGGTGGGATGCAGTGGTCGCACGACCCTTTCATGTATTGCGGCTGCGGTGGGCAGTGGCATGGCTTATGCTTACGTTACCTGATGGATCATGCACACCATCGTCGCCATCGGCAGCATGACAGTACCACCACCATGGCACAATGGCAGATTGTATGGCTGCGACGACAGCAACTGGAGGCGCGCAAATAGTGAGGTTAAGAGCTTCAAGATGAGGTGTGGCAAAGGCAGATTACAGGTGGCGTTAGTTTTGCATGCGTATTCGGAAATCTGCAGCACCATGATAATCATGTACATAGATATGCCTCTTTTTTTACAATAAGAATAATGTGGAAACTTCTAGCCTTCTAAAACAAGCATGTTAGCTTATTTAACTTTGTTATAACAAATATTGTATATGGTCAGTCGAGGATAAAAGTCTATTTATCAACTTGGTTAATCTGGTTGCAAGAGGAAATCTAGGGGGTGCTTCTTACACTTCAGTATTTGCCATTGATATTGGCAGTTCTCTATGGTACTCTGTTTGTATTACTTTTACCTTTATTCCTCCATGTTTGAGTACTTGCATTGCTATTGCTTTTGACTTTATTCCTATGATGCATGCTGCTGACGACAGCGCCTCAATGTGAACGTTCCAATCATTTGATAAATGTTCTGGAACCTGTGAGCAATACTTCTTACTGGATTTTAAGTTTCGTCACCCATATACCGTCAGGTACTATAACAAGGCTATTGTTAAGATCATCATTAATTTTGTCTGCCCATCTAAAAGTTAACCTTTCTGACCTTACACTTGCACGCAACTCTATCATGATTGCTTACAAGGGGCGGCTTAGTGATTCAATCTCTGACTATAAGGCAGCTTAGTGATTGTCATGTTTGTTTTGCTCAAATCAAAAGAAAATTGTTTTGGTACTTGAAACTGTTTGAGTGGTAAAATATTATTTTAGCCTTTTAAGCATAAATTTATTTATTTGTATCCGTTGCAACGCACGGGCTTTTTTTCTAGTACTATAAAAAAAAGAAATACAAGAGCACAAAATTTAGGGTAAAGAAACTCTGATTCTCCATCGCGCCTCGAGCTGTAGCCAACCGACCCGGCGACCCGAGCCCGACATCGACCACATCATACATACAAGGCACACCTCGGCGTCAGCCGTGCGACTCACCCTTTTCCCCCATGTCGGACGTTTACAAGAAAGCCAAGCCCGGCCGCCTCGTCTTCAAGGGCGGCGAGGCCGCCACCCTCCGCAAGCCCAAGAAGCAAAAGAAGAACAAGAAGCCCGCCGACGATGTCCCCGCCGACGCCGACGCTGAAGCCGCCGCCGCTGCTGCTGCCGCTGCGGCCACGGAGGGCGCCGAAGCCGGCGGCGACTACACCATCGACGCGGCGAAGCGGATGAAGTACGAGGAGCTGTTCCCCGTGGAGACGAGGAAGTTCGGGTACGACCCGTCCAACGCCGCCCGCACCTCCCGCGACCGCACCGTCGAGCAGGCCCTCGACGACCGCGTGAGGAAGAAGGCCGACCGCTACTGCAAGTGAGGTCAGGCGCTAGAATCTAGGGTTTGTTGATTCGGCGGAATCGGTCGCCTTAGATTGTTGCGCTCGAGGCGAATTAGATTGGTTTCTGGTGTTGAAACACATGGATTAAGTTGTCGGGGAACTGATTTATGTTCGATTGTTTAGTTTGATTTGGTATCGATATGAATTATGAAACAGCCATATGTGATGTGTTGCTACTTTTGTTCAATGTTTGATGCACATTGGCAATACCAGAGTAACAATCTATTTATATAATCCACAATTTCGGATGCTGCTGTTATCCAACTTTTGAGTGTAGATGTGGAAGTTGCTAAAATACCTGAGGGTTGGTTGGATCCTTAAAGTGTTGGTAAACAGGGTAATGTAGAAATCCACTGACCAGGCTTACTGCTATATCCAAGGGGATTGAGTCACAGTGAGATTATTCTTAATTTCTATAATAATAGTTGTCATGAGGTGTGAATGTTATATACTGTTTTGTTAGTCTTAAACAGGTGCTTAGCATTGGCAGAGAGGTGAATACTCACTGTCATAATAACTGACGAACTTCAGCTGGTAGTGATACTTGTGGGTTATGATCGGGTTATCTTCGTATTATTTTTGGCATTGTTCTGGTCCCTTCTTCTGGTAGATAAACGTTACACTTAGGACAAAACTAACTATGCTGTTGTTCTTTCTTCATTGATGGGAAGAAGGAAGACCCACTGCCCCGTGTTCTCCTTTTGCTGGCCATGAGCTCATTTATCATCTATTTTTTGATTGTGTATAGAAATCATGGCATGACATGACAATGAAATGGTGTGTTTGTATTGATGCTCATGTTCAAACCGAATGTAGCTTGATTTTTTTTCTTACTTGACAGGTGATTAACTCATCTTAGTTGTTTGCTGCTGTGATGGACAGAAGGCTCACTTCAGTTGTTCTCAATGTATCAGAAGGTGCACCTTTGGACAACTGTTAGTCCAATGGTGGCATATGTAATAGAGCTAGTCTCTGCAGCGATCAAGCAATTCCTTTATCTTGCATGTTTTGTACTAGTAAACACATGTGGTATAAATCTCATGTTCACTCTCGGTTGTCCGTTTTGGTCAATTGGATAAATGGTGTATGCTTGGTACATGCCAATTTATAACTGTGTTTTCCATTCAGCTGTATCCTTTATTTCTCTACTATTTTTGGTTTCATATTCTCTGTCCCCAAGTTGTTGCTCGCTAAGGAGAATGTATGTTCCTTACCTTCTGCTAGCAACAGTCTGACAAACTTGATCAACATCAGACGGCGTAGTAACATCAGGTACTTCCTGCCCTCTGTTTGGGTTATTGTGGATTTAGACTGCACTTTACTACATTATTTGGTGCGGCTGGCACAAGGTTTGCCAGAAGTATATGTTTGAGCTTCACTGTTTGAGGCAAGTTATGCTGTGTTTATATTAGGGTTCCTGTGGCAGTGGGCAGGCATGTGAAAATGCCTTTCTGCATCACTTAAAAACTTATTGACAGTGATATGCATCCCTCTTTTCAGTATGGCCATCATCTGGTGGTATGGGTCTAAAAGAGTGTGTAAAGGATAATAATATGAAAAACTATTCTAAGAATGCTTTAATCTTTTGGTAGACTTTTAGAAGTTTGATGCTCATTCTACTCCCATCAATAATTCCTTGAATTATTTTATTCTGCTCGTCTTGTACTACCATGCATTTTTAAGAACAGTAGGAATGATGTTGGCTGACAAAAGTGAACAGAATTACTAAACTGGAAATTTGGAGGGAGCAATGCCACATGGCAGCTAGACCAGTTTATAGATTGCTTCTGATTAAATGCATGCCCGAGTGTTTGGAAGCTCATCGTTTTTACAGGATTGCTGGGTGCCTTAGTTGCATTGTGGTTTTCATTTCTGTTTTTTTTCTTTCTGCGAGGAGCGTGAATTGAAATATTTTCTCATGTGAGCCTCATGTTGATCTGTTGCATCTTTTTCTGTTGAACTGATCCAATTCATTCAGTTTGACGGAAAGTGTGTAGTTCTTTGAGGTTCCTCCACTTGCATTTGGTAGTTTCGTACTTCTGAACAACTTGTTCGTAATGTGTCTTTTTGTCCGCTTTGTTCAAACCTTTTCTGGCAAAACATGACCTCACTTAATGTATCTTTCCATTGTCATCTATCTTTGTATTAATCTTCTGATTTTCCAGTTCAGTTGGCAATTGACATGGTTACATTCTTGTTTGAATTAGTTTATCACTATCCTGTTTTGCTTCGACTTACTCTCAAAATATCAAATACCTTTTAGTTTTTTACTATGGTTATGAAATTTTACAGTCTTTACTAATTGTTACTATGCCCAGGGATAATGGTCGTTCTACAGGAGTCAAAGTTGCTTTTACTCTAATTTCACAGGTACAATGGTTTATAGCTACTGCTGAGTTGCTCTCTGACGAGCCATGACTTGTATCCTTTTGCATAATTTTTTTATTCACTCATGATTTCTCTTTTACAGCTGTGCCTTTTGGGCATGCGTGCTAGCAATAAGGTCCGGAAAAAAATTGATTGTTGATCCTGTTCCTACCATTTCCAGGTAACTTTCTCTATTTCTCTATGACTATATCTGGCCTTAACATGCTTTTACGTGCTTGAGAAAGCAATATCAGTAATACCTCAACCATCCCCTTTTTTTCGAGAAAATGCAAAGGACTCTTTGCGTTTCATTGCATTGAAAAGATGAGAAGATACAATCCTCCTAGGAGGTGGTGGTTACATCCCATTTTTTTGCCCTTTAAGGAAATGTAAAAGCTTGGTGCTTCAGTGTATTGATAAAATGGAAAAGTTGGTATTTACAAGCCTAAAGTTAAGCTGAACCCCAGCACGCAGACACATTAATATCTCAGAGGCACTCACATAGGGCAGCAGCAGGTTGAGGCTTCCTGCGCCTGCCATAGCCCAGGAGCGTGCCTCCGATTTGATTTGTTGGACCAACTCGTAGATGTCTGGGTGCTCCTCATCAAAGGTGCTATGAGGAAAGGAACATATATCAAGTCTAGACTCTAGCTTCAGGTTGCCTCATACACCATCATGTCGTTGTATGGCTTTCTTATTAAATTTCTGACGGAACCGGCTTCATCAGCAATTTGTATGGTGATTGAAGTGCATTGTACCGCCCTTTGAATCTAATGCGCTCATCTGGACCATAATGGGCAACGTACGCTTCATACGTCACAACAGATGATCTCAATATTAACTATCCCACCAAACCGCTCCACAGAACTGCCGTTAATCATTGGTCAGGGAGGATGTGTATTCTCAAAGGACCCGTATCTAACGCATTTGCTTGTAGATCCTTCTTATGTTCACGCTGAGACATCCAACTTTAATCCTTCAATTTCGGCCTCCACTAACCTGAGGTCGTCACATGTGAGTAAGAAGTCTTTGCATTAAGTTTTGAAATGAGGTTATCCCTAGTGCTTGACACGAAAGAGGTCAACATAGAGGAGAGAAAGGCTCATTCCTATTCGGTCATTAAAGCCCACAAGGAATTCTTGGTATGCTTTACCTCTTATTCTCTATTAGAATGAATGGTACGCATGCTTCCCACTGGATATCCATGCTTTATGTCTTTCTCTTCTCTGAAAGTTGGAAGGCCCCCCATCCTTGTATGCATCCAGGGTGATTTATTGGCAGGTGTTATAGCTCCTGGTATCTGGTCTTGGTTTTCTAAAGGATGTTGTAGCAAATAAGTAAGGGACAGTTTTTTGGGGCTAATGGCCGGCTGTGGAAATAAGCTGCCCCCTACCCAGCTTATTCTAGAAGCTCAACCTAAAATTTAAATTTAGAAGATCAAGTTATCAGGGAATCAACAATTTTATCTCTAGAATGAATTTGATATTTCAACCAAGTATCATTTAGTACCAGAACTATTGCTGATTCTGGAAGAAAGAAATATTCCTTCCTTACCTACCTTTTTTACGTGTATAATACAAGCTGTGTCATCATTAGCTTTTTGTTGCTTTCCAGAAAGGGCCTTTGGTTTAATAGTTGTTAAACAATTACGTAAAGAAAAGTAGTCTGCTATGACTTTCCCTACGAACATCCCTTTTTATCTGGATTACATTTCCCTAACCAAATACAGATACCAGTCTGCTGATGGTGATTGTTATTTAAGCGTATTTCCCCTCAACGGTTCAACTTGAGCCTCTTAATTCAATCTGGGGACCAGTATTTATTTGTCAGATTAGATGATAATATTGGGGTGTTTTATAAAGGGTAGGATGGGAGCAGATGCTTACGCCACTGGTCTGCAAGTTTATTGCTTAAGAGGTGAAGTGGTGTTTACTTTCCATATCTTGAGAATTTTAGAGAATGCTAGGAGTTTCAGAGAAAGTGATTCTGTCATTTGAGTTTGGCCCTCAGAGTTATCGCCTTTCAAGTGTACTTGGAGTATGCTTTGCAAAGTATCTTTGTTTGTCTGATGCCACCCTGTCCTAGCCTCCTAGGTATCTTCTATTATCTGTTGATGCCTCGATGGTTATAGTTTGGACATTCAAAATACTAGTCGGCACAACTCTATGTCACGGTGCTGCCTGTAAATGAAAAAAATATATGGCCCATTACAACCCTTATCATGTGGCAATGTGCTACCCCAGTTAGCTTCTGGAATAGCTAACTTGAGTTTATGAGTATCATGCTTTTGTTAGACTTGCGGTGGAATGGAGGGGGGTCATGTGATTTTTTTTCTTTTACAAAGTGTTATGTCAGGATTACTAAATCTTTGTAGTTTCTTGTCACTAGGAACTTAAAAAGCTGTGGTACTGATTTTTCAGGTCGCAGATCTCCAAATTGCATGTTTTTTCAAATGTTAGAGCATGTCCAGATGCTCCTTCCCTTGGAGTTGGATTGTCAACAGGTTCGAACTAACTTGAAACCTACCCTGGCACACCAACACCCCTCGTCCACTCTCAGCACAAGATGGCAGGGTCTTTCTACTTGTGTTGACTGAAGTCTCTCTCCTCTCCACAGTCCAGACTCCACAGTATACAGCTTCCAAAAACTATGGTGTCCCTTTATGCTATGGTTTAGGTGCCATGGCATCATTTTAATAAATAATAATCATGCCACTTTAACCTTTTCAAGGAAATATGAGTCCAAATTAGTGTAACTATATTCGTAATGAGGATATATTACTTGAGTCACTCGACATTGTGTGCTCATTTTTCTTGAAATTAGTTCTCTAAAGTAGAACTGCTTACTGAACATACAAGTCCACTGTGTGGTGCACGATGGCACACACATCCTTTCAGAGGAATGTGCAAGTGGGAGAATGAGAGACTCACTGCCTGTAGCAAGTACCTTCCTATCTGTAACATAATGATTTTCCACCAAAATGTTCTTGATATTGTTCTCCTTCCCACTCATTAGGATCTAAAATTCCCTCCAAGCTTACCAAGTTATGGGGTTTAATAATCAATTCCATCTCACTGCATCCCACAAGTCCCACCATACTGATTACTAGAAGTAGATCACTCGAGGTCAGGTGAACTCGTGCCAAGTAAAAGTAAAATTGACAACCTCTTAGAATTTGAAAGGATCTCATCAGGCACACGTCGGCATACACTCTGAAAAGACCACCATGGGAAGGTGAGAAGAGAAGGGAACTCCATGCACCTATAAAATGACCCTATCCATCACATCTTCTGCAGCCAAAGCATATTTCATGGACGAACATGCACCTGAGATTCCAGTTAGTTATAGCAGTTCCTCCACTTCACCAGCCAGCAGCGTCTGGGAGAGTCACGAGATCATACAGAAGCATGCACCCTTCCCCTTATGGAGCCCCCACACTGGCACACTCCTTGCCTCTGCGGCCACTGACCCGGCAACCTTCTGCGAGGACCCCTCTTCACCAGCCCGCACACACCTTCCAAGCAGGCATCTATGGAACCAGACTGACCTGTGAGTATGCACGTCTCACACTTGTTGATGCTTGTTCAGTGACATCTGACAGAAGTTAGACCATGAAACAACCTTTTCAGTAGCATGGGAGCTCATGGGAGCAGCAACGAGCTTGGCGGGAGCAGTGGCCACGGAAAGGACTTCCTTTCCTTGCTCGAAGCGAGGACGGTGATGCCAGAAATGCTCGATGATTTCTCCTCGGCGGCATGCGACTACCTCAAAGGGATGGACGGCAGCGACTACAACAGCATCTCCGGATCAGCTTCCTATGGTTTTGACAGTGGCGGTCCGTACGCTGGCCCCAGTGCTCTGCCCGTCAGCTGTGATGGGATTGCGAGCTCTCCACCAGTGTACCTTGGGAACAGTACCTTTGTGCAAGAGAGCATGATGGGTTGCATGCCAAGCCACAACCACGAGGTAAAAGATGGTTCCCAGCAGCAGGAGCTTGGAGCTCCCATGAATGCATTCCTGCAGAAAACGCTTCCTACTAGTGTTGCAATTCATGGAAGCCCTCTGGGTTATTCTGGCTTTGGGAGTGAAAGGGTTTTTCAGGAGGGCCGAGTAATGCAGGTTTCATTTGGTGCTAGGATTTCACCAGATGCAATCTATGCTAGTGGTTACAGATCAAAAACAGAATTGTCAGATACCAATCAGCATGAGCAACGTACTGTTTCGGTAAGATTGGAATGCTAAATTGTATTGCTAAGTAACGGCAGAGTAGAAGTTATTGCTGTTTACAATGTGCTCTACAATCTACCTGTGTACATATGATTCTTGAATTTGCAGGCAAGGACTGGTACAGGTCAAAGTGGTGCTGCAGGTGATCCTAAGAAGAGAAAATCAGAGGAAAAGTTGGCAGGCAACGGAAAGAGGTCGAAGAAAGATACTTCAAGTAGATCACCTCCCAAGGTAACTAACAATGAAGATTATTTGACGAACTGGTTTAAACTCTCTGAGAAGCATCCGATCAACTTATTTTGAGCCAAACACAGGCAGAAGTGCCTGATATGAAGTTGGGAGAGAGAGACAAGATCATAGCATTGCAGCAGATCATCTCACCGTATGGGAAGGTACAAATTCTGCAAGTATTGCTAAGTGAAAATAGTGAGATGACCTTCCATTCTTCTCTTTTTATTGCTAACTCCATCTAAAATTTGTATTTTATCAGACAGATAGAGCATCAGTGTTGTATGAAACCATCAAGCACATCGAATATCTACATGAGCAGATACAGGTTGATATCATCATAATCCTTTTCAGATAAGCCGTATGTTTTGACTTGCAGATGTTACTGCCAAGGTTTCAAAAAAAATGTTCTGCAGCTGAGCCATGTAGATACGTCCTGTAGCATAAGATACAATGAATACTCACACCGACGGTTTCACATTATCGTTGCACTTCACTAAGCATTTGCTGCCTTGACTTGCTATGCCTGTTTGTTGGCGGATTTCCATGCCATTCTTTTTCTTTCGAGAATGAGGATTTCCATGCCATGTCAAGTCTTGTCTAAAGAAAGATGATGTTGTCGTCGTCTATAGAATAATTAACATAAAGAATAATGTCACTCACACAGTCACGAGTCACAACCAGCACTACACCTTTTCTAAAGTTAGGTAATAATGCCAACTGTTAGTACCATGCTGACTGCTTGCCCCTTTTCTGATTTGGACAGCTATTGAGTGAACCCTACATGAAGAATAGCACAAACGAGGTAGTGGCATTGAATTTCAGAGATATGTATTTTTCTCTTTTCTAAACCGTCTTAAACGTACCTGGTAATGACTTGCTATCATAAACTCTTTTCAGGTGCCCTTTCAATGGGGAGGTAAAGAGGAGGATTTGAGAGGCAGAGGGCTTTGTCTGGTCCCTGTTTCGTGCACCCCGCAAGTTCTCCAGGATAATAGCCTGCCGGACTGCTGGACGCCGGTGTACAAGAGCTCCCGGTACCAATGATCCCAGCGATCGCATGTTTCCTTTATCACCTCTACTTGTCACGCTCATGAATTGGTTGGGGTGTTTACGACTTTACGGATAGTCGGTTATTTTGCTTGCGTTCTCCTTGTTTTTACTTTACTATACTAGTTTTGTTTCCGCTGTATTGTATGGTGGCCGATGTGTAGTATAGAATAACAAAGTTGGGGGTCTTAGATCTTTGGCTTTGTGCGAAAACGGTGCCGATTCAGGCTTAGCACTCGCTATTAGGAGAACAGTATAACTATTTCCGTCTTTTGAAGGTTGAACCGCACTGCTTGTACTCGATATTTCCATGGCATTTTACCCTTTGATTTGATTTGCTACTTGATGGCACGGCTGTTAGCATAGATATGCAGGTATGCACGTCCAAAAAAAGAGAGGAAATATATGTTTTTTTAGAAGAAAAAGAGGAAATATATAACTCCGCCTATGTTGTCGCAACATAGCCTGTCCTAAACCGGATAAATGAGGAGGGTTGTGATAGGCTTGGTGAGCCAACATAAAAACTCTTATGAAGATGAAACCTAAAAGATTTTCATTGGGGCATAACCTTCTCAGCGACGCGCCACATCGGATACGGGTTTCACCTCTAGCCTACCCCAACTTGTTTGGAACTAAAGGTTTTGTTGTTGTTGTTGTAAAAAGAGGAAATATATGTTTTTTTAGTTTTTTTTTTGAGGTAAATATGTTTTTTTAGTAGAAGATGAAATATATGTAGCGACGTGTAGGCAAATTATGGGCCAAATGAGACCTGCGTCTAAACTAGCCATTTTCATTTGTGACATCTGGACTTCCGATAACCATTGGGCCGCGTCGTGAGCCTGTTTGAAACGCCGGGGAAAAAGCCCAAATGGGAGGGGTTCTAAGGAATTACCGCCTTTTAGCCCTTGTTTTGATTTGTAGGATTTTAAAAATGTAGTAATAATAAAACACAAGAATATAATAGAATTTTAGAGGGAGTATGTGCTAAACAAAGGGTTGTGAAACACTAGCAAAAAATTGACAAAAATGGTGTTGATTTGCAAGAATAGTGAGAACACAGTAAAAACACAGTCTAATGAACGTTAAAACACAAGTAAAAGTAAGGTTAGATCGTTAACAACAACTTATGGCCTTTGCATTATTCTTTGCATAGAAATGCAAGAAAGTGGTTTGAGTGAATTGTAAAATTCTTTCATTTTCCCTTTTAAACTCAAACCAAAGGAAAAAAATCCTCTACTTTTCATATGTACAATTCTTTAAAGGGAAAATCTATTCTTTAAAATCAAATGGATGAATAGTGTCATAAAAACAGGTGTCTGTATTTCCTCCACTTTCCCTATAAATCAAAGAGTCCTTTGTGCTTTTCGGTATGAAGGAATTTGTCCTTCCCAATCACGTGGAAAGTTTCTCGCATGCGCAAAAAAAGTTGCTAAATCATGCATCCCATGACCCAAGTTGGGATTCATCTGTGCATGTTTGAACCCACATACACAAAAACAGAAGCTAGTGTCGATATGTTCTTATTTTTTTTAACTACTATATAGAATCCACGTGAGATTATTTCCCGGATTTCTTATCCAACTCTATGGCCACAATGTTTTTATTTATTTTTACCTCTGTTCCTTTTCATTTTTATTAGCTTCAATCCAAATGGAGCCTCAACCTGTAAGATCTAGATAATGGTAGGCCCACATGTTGAAGGGGAAAAACTATGAAAATGTGCTTTGTTTTCTTTTTCTAAAGGATAAGTATATTTTTTATCCCTCAACTTTTTTGAAAGTATAGAAATGGTCTCTCAACTGCAAAACCAGCAAATCTTTGTCCCTGAACATTCAAAACCAGATAAGTTTAGTTTCTTAACTTTTAAAATCAGATAAGTTTAGTCCCTCATGTCGCTTTGGGTGGTTTTTTGCCGAGTACAGTGTTTTCGGCATGACGGCGCTCCTCCCGGCCGAGGCAGCGCCCAACTCATGGTCATTCTGTTGTACAAAGCTAGCCTCGTACTTACTTCCTTTGTTCGAAAAAATTTGTCCCAAGCTTATCTCTTAAATGGATGTTTTTAACACTAATTTGATGATAGATACACTCATTTGAAGGACAAATTTTTTGAGATGAAAGGAATACTAGCTCATCAATCCAGTCGTGTATAAAGCAAGCTCTCCCTGATGCGCTTCTGGCTGTTGAATAATTAGTTAGGCCGTTGATTATTTCCCGTTTTCTTCTCACTCAGTTAGCAGGACAGGAGCTCACTATTTTGTGTGGAGGCCGTACGCGTCGAGTCCGGCAGCTGCCTGCATGTCGCTGCAAGTGTCCACCTGCGCCTGCACGTCTAGTTTTTCGCTGCACAAACCAGTCGAGTCCTAGTGTTCATCAGAGTGCACCTGAGCGTGTGAGTTGAGAGCTAACACTGGCCGGTGCTTTTGGCACGAGAGGAATCAGCTTAGATCAATTAACGTGCATAAGCAAGCTAGCTGTCTGCTGTGCTTTTGCTGCGTACATGCATCAACACTAGAAGCAAACGCGCGCGTTGCTGCGCCATTGGGTCTTATCGGTTTGGTTTATGTCACATTTTCCTTTTGGCGCACCCTCTTTTTTCTCAAGTTATTTCCCATAAACTGAATCATCATGGGCCATGAACTGTATGTTCAGTGATCTTCCATATGATTGAGAAAGTGATGCAAATATTTAATGCATCGGAGAAATATATGAGGAAGGAGCACTACAGTTTATATTCCACCCAATGAACAATACATGATTTATGAAAATATTTCAATAGATAAACTGCACGTGGAACACTCGATATATCAATCTCTTGTTCACACTTGTGTCACATTGTCCATTTCACAGGCCCAAACAGCTAGACCGAGACCGATTCTACTGTAGAAATCATATTGGCGAGCATACTTTCTCAGTCCAATTTAAAAAAGAAAAGTTTAAAAGGAGTTCTGAAAAGAAGATTTCCAAAAAAAGACTGAGGATTTCTTCTTCTTGGCATGGGCGTGATGCATGTCCTCTAAATACTTCAGAAATGTTATATGCTAGTTTGAATACAAATTTACATTGATATGATTTATCAAAAAAAAAAACTGATCAGTATATCATGTAAAAGAAGTCAAATACTATGCGAGAACATAAATCCACAACAATGTTTAGCTGTAAGAATCATAAGACACAAAATTATATTTAGAAAATCTGCAGAATCAACATGAGAACAGCTGAAGGGTAACTTGAGATTGGAACATTATTGAAACCTGAAGCATGTTAAGGCCAAAAAGAAAATTATTGAAGGATAATAATTACTAATGAATGATGAATTCAGTTCTGACAAGAATTACATGCTACCATCTTTTACCTAAATGGTAGGGACATGCAATGTTCACAAGAACACTATTTGGCTCAGAAAATTTACAATAGCTTACAGAATAAGCTGAATGCCAATTCAGACTGGTACAGACTGTAAATAAAATATACAAAGCTAATTGAACTACACATATAATTCTTTGAGTAACCGGTTGGTATGGATTGAGCATAGAGTACATCAATCAGCATTGTGAGCATGGTTAAAAGAAGAAACTTGTTCACCGGATATTAATGGATAACATTGCTGTATACTATAATAGAAAAAACAAGGGATTGGCTAGTTCAGAATGTCATCATGGAATAAACAATAATCCTAAATCCTACTTAGCTTCAGCAAAAATTACATAATAATTAATCAGCTACATATTAAACCAAAAGAAAGGAGATGGAGAGATTGAAAACATCTTGGCAACCCACATTGGCTTTCGGAATTTCACATCAAAGTGAACAATTTGGTAAAGATATACTTCGCCTTCTTTGTAGTAGCAAACCTGCAAGAATTCATGAGCATGCAAAGGTTAGATTGTCACAGCACGCAGCATAAAAGAAGCAAGTTGTAGAAAACCACAATGCAATGTCGTGTACACTCCTTGTTTAACTGTTGTATCGGTGTTCCGCGGCCACGCGACTCCCAGCACGAAGAGGTTCACTGTGTGATGCTCTGCCTGGAGAAAATAACAGGGACAGGTTACAGACGTTAACAGGTGACCCTCGGCTGGGCAGCAGGGTACGCCGTAGGCTGTCCTGAAGACAGCTCCAGAGCTCGTGGAACACGTCAACGGCCAAACGCGGCAAAGCATGTGCTCGGTGCTGCCTCGTCCCGGCGGACTTGGCGCCACCGCCGCATTCGTTTGTTGGAATTCCTCGCCGTCCCGTGGAATGCCTCAGCCGTACGCGCTGCCCTCGTCCTCACCCGCCTGCGCGCTCGGCTTCAGCGGCGCCTGGGGAGGTAGTTGCGGGGCTCGGGGACCATGGAGAGGCGGCTACGACGACGGCTAGCGTGCTCGTCGATCTCTGGGATATGGGGCTCCAGCAGCGGCAGGCAAGCCCGCCAACATCATGAAGACGGCCACCTCCATCAGCATGAGATCCAGTGCGTCTCGAGGATGGTAGCGCCTTGGGAGAGAGAAATCGTGCGACAATGACGATCTAGTGGTGGTGAGCAGCGTTGATCTGGCCGAGGGTTGCGAGATTCGGAGGTCGCGCATTGAAGCGACACATTAGAGGTCCACGGCAGCGGCGACGGGCCCTAGTTGCGTCCTGACCCTGACCGACGGGGTCCACCAGGTAAAAAAAAGCCTCGAGCTCTCCCAGGGCTCTATTTCCTGGGAGCTTGGTAACTTTATAGATGTATAATCTTTTTTTTGAGCATTTATAGATGTATAATCTACGAGCGGACCACATCAAGCCTGCGCTACAAAAAAAAAAGCCATCGCTACAAGCCTACTCTCGCCGGAAAGTCGCGTTGCCGCCGTCGAGCAGGCTGGCACCCGGACCATCTCGCCATCGGCAAAGTAAGACAGGCATATGTCGCAGACAAACGCGCACTGCTGCTCCTCTGCTTGTGCGTCCGTGAGGCGGTGTATACCACACCACCACCACCTCGGCATACAAACCACCCAAAACAGCACGAGGTA